TTATAAATATAAATCAGAAAATGGAGATGAGCGTAAAACTTATGTCTGTAGACTTCTGAAACATAGAGAATCAAGCGGAAGAAATGAAAATGTCCCTCAGAAAAGCTTAGAGTAACATGGAAAAGACCTCCTGTCGACTGTAAAGCTAGAATTAAAATTACTTGGTTTGCTGCATCAAATTTAGTTAGAATTGAAAGGGTAAGACCAAGGATAGAATATATTTAAATGTTATTTTAATGATGTAAAATTTTTTTAAAGTTCAAATAATATAATTTATTAAAAAATTTTTTTTTTAATTTAAATTATTATAAGGTGATTATGCATGTTATAAGTTTATATAAATTAAAAGTAAATTAAGTGTTTAATATAATAGTAAAATTAAATTGTCTTTTTATTACCTATAGGTCCAAGATACTCCTGATCATAGCCACTTGATGGACGAAAGTGATATGCGAAAACGGTCAAAGCTTATAAAAGACTTAGTGAGCAACGAGGCAATCAAAGATTACAACCCTCTAGCAATCACAAATGTTGTAAGAAAAGAAGTGTCTAAGTTGCATAAAAACTCGGGTGTGGAGTATTTAAGAACTAAGGAGGTCGCTAATATTAAAATGAGGCTTGTTGGTCCGATGAATTCGCATCTTGTTGGGGAGACTAATTTAAAGGATGATATTTTAGCTACGGTTGAATTTTTAATACAAAATAATTATCAAACTGAATCTTTTAAAGCTCAAAAAGAAACATTTGAATATATTCGTGGTTTATGCTTTGCGAATATTTGGCAAATTGAAAATTTGACCCGATATGGTTGGTTAACATTAATGGATTCTACACATAACACTAATAAGCATGGATGGTGATTATTCACATTATATGTCCGTGATGGTTATGGATGTTGGAATGCAGGTGCTCATTTTTTTGTCAATAAAGAGGATAGCGAGGCTGTTGCCTTGGGTTTAAGAATTATTCGAAAATTTGCACCATGTTGGAGTCCACGATACATGCTTCTAGATCAAAGCAGTATAGAATCCAATAGCGTTGCAATAACTTTCCCAGGTCTTTCTATTGGTATGGATGAAAATATATTATA